TGGTGATAGAATTGAAGAGGCCAAAGGAATCAGTGATATAGAATCCCACTACAGATATAAAAGGGGGGGGAGAGTGTTGGTACAAACTTGTAACCAGGGAGTTTGAATGTTCCAGTGAAACATTTTGAAGTGTTTTGTGATCCCACAACAAATCCTGAAACATCTTAAGTGCTCTGCCACAGGGAACAACGGCAACATAAAATAAACCTCATATTTTTCATCATCAGGTCATAAAAGTGAAATAGCAGCCCATGCTGACTGCTGTCTACTGCTCAAACTATAACTACATTGACTAAAATATTTTTTTTAAGGACTGTAAATATTTAAACATTCCTAGAGTAAACAAGTTGGGTGTACTTTTTTTTTTTACAGCCTGTCTGCACAAATAATCACAAGAAATTAGCCCAGCGGGGGAAAAAAAACATAATAGAATCACTCCAGCATAACCCCAACACAATTTAATGGGGGTGGGGGTTCTTTCTTCCTAATTCAGTAACTATAAAATCTCTGCATTCAGCAAATATAGACAACTTCAGACAAAGCAGTATGCCCCAAATGTCCAAAAGCTTACCAGCACAGATACCCTTTCTGTAAAGCACAGTTCATAACAACCTACCTGAAAAAGACACAAAGTACATACATAACACACAAAAACGATATAGCCAGGCCATGACCTTTACATTCTATTTCAAAGACTTCCAAAATTTACCTACCTCCTACAGTAGGAGTTAACTCACCTTCACATTACCAAGCTTTCTCTACTCAGCCACATTTGAATGGTAGCAGCAGAAGGAAGAACTTTAGCTCTGCTATTTTATTGGCTAATGTGCTCTTAAAAGTCTCCATAGCTTAGAGGAATTTTTAGAACAGAAGCTAACTTATACTTAACTTTTAGGGACACTCCAGGCAATATAAAACAATATATCCCAACTGGAACTGAACTCAGGATCCAACAATTCCAGAACATGGTTGTTTTGTTCCATGTTTGGAACCCTCAAACCTCCAGTAGTTATTTTGGAATTTGACTCCTTAATTCACACAATGCATCCTATTAGCACTAGATGGCTTTCCTTTTATGTAAGCTTAACCCAAATGAAAACATGCAGCATACAAATAATATACACCTGTATGTATATTTTCTTTGTCATGTGATCTTCAACCATTAGTTAAAAAACTCAGAACTTTCTGAGCAAGTCAGTTCCAACACATAAATACAATAATAAATATATAAAATAAAACCCATCAACTTACAAAGTAAAAGACTCAAATTATATTCAGTAGCAATTGATTGCTACATTAAAGGATTTATTTACCAAAGGCAGCAGCTTTAGACACTAAAAAATCACTAAAGGTAAAAGATAAGGGATGTCCTCAGTACGCTATCAATTTTTGTCCAGAAGCTACCATTGATGTTCCATTCCCACCATACACAAAACAATACTAAGAATAAGTAGCACTTTATATATCCTATACACACAAACACATTTATTTTTTATGTCAACAAAATGTTCCCCTCATTTTTAAACTAGAACAAGAGCGATGGAAAAGAAAAAGAATAATCGTATAACAATGTATGTAAATGTAAATATTCATAAGAGATAAATGTGTATAATGCTGATGCTAAAGTACTGTTAATATTATGATTAATTTTGCTTTTTTAAAAAATATAAAAGAATACACTTTATTTTTTAAAAAAGAAAAGGAAAAAAAAACCATTCAGAACGGATGGAAATTCATAACTTTTAGAATGATCAGAATACACTTTGTTTGGGGAGGGTATGTCTTAGATTATTCTCCATATACAGATTTGAATTCCATGCATGTTCCTCTCAACTAACATCACCCAAAATGGTGCCTTCCCAATGTGTTAAAGAGTCTACAGCAATATTGGAAAGACAGACCTCTTTCCAAAGACAGATTTCTTCTATTCACTTCCCAAATCAAGGAAAAGCAATTTCCCATGAAACCAAATATGAGGCTAGTCCCAATTCATAGCAAGCCGATTTCTTGCCTAAATTCCTACACCTCACCATACAGTTCAAAGGGGAGAATTTTTTGCTCATTGTAACTTGCACTAACCAAGACTGAAGGTTGTGCCTTCCAACATTTCCATAACTTCAAGAAAGCAGGTCAATGTGAGACAAGTAATATGAAGCTTAACAAGACTTGAAATAGACAGCTATATGAAAACAGAACTTCCCATTCAGAACCAGATTTAGTTATAAGCATGAATTTGCAGAGATGTTAACTAGGACTTATTCAATTATGTACTTAAAACTGAAGAATATAAAACTGGTTTCAAATTTAGAGCATCACAATCTGAATAATGTTTCAGGAAAGAGGGACTGCTAGTTGCTCCTCTCGGTTATGCTAACATCTATGCTCATTTCCATGTTAATTTGCTGGGGAAACGGGTTAAATGTTAGTCAAGACCAACTGCTTTGAGAAGCATACAAATAAACTATGCCAAGTTCTCCCTCATTACAATTAGAGATTATCACGGTTCCTTAAAATGTAGATTTGCAAAAAGAAAATTAAAAATCAAAAACAAGAAAGGTAGAGCAGAAATGCCATAATGAAGTATGTACCCTGGCAGTTTTGAAGACAACTATTGTTATAAGTCAGCATGAAGTGCGCTTGACACAAAGGAGCTGTTGCTTCCAAGAACACATACCACAACTTATCAGTCACTGTTTACTATGCAAATACATGGATTACTAGAAGAGGGTTCTAAGGCCAAAGGAAGATCTAGAACTCGTGGATCTACTGGTTTCGAGTCTGCTGCCTCAACCATTACACAAAACTTGTTATGTAAAGGTGCATTAAGCTCAGAGATAGTACAGGTAGCACTTAGCCATGGTTTACTGCAGCAGTCCCCAACCTTTATTGCTTGGCAGCCCAGTGGGGGAGGAGGGGAACTGGCTGTGCGAGCAGCAGGTCGGTGCGCACAGCCACAGCCCTTGTGCGAATGGCAGGCCAGCATGCACGCACACAACTCAAACTTGCATGAGCAGTGGGCCAGCGCGCATGTGTGCGAGTGCCTGCCAGCCCACCACTTGCACAAGTGAAGCTGCGTGCATGGGCTCCGGCCAGCCACTCACACGGGCCAATTCCAAATAGGGGGTCGGATGGGGACCCCTGATTTACTTAATGTCCTTGTTTACATCATACATTATAAGCAATAGTTATAACCAAAATGGATGGATGGATAAAGGTAAAGGTTTTCCCCTGTCCAATCCTATCTGACTCTAGGCAGTAGTGCTCATGACTATTTCTTAGCTGAGGGAGCCAGCGTTGTATGGGAAGACTTTTCCATGGTCACATGGCCAGCAAGACTATACAATGAGGTGCAGTGAATGGAAAGCTGTTACCTTCCCACCAAAGTGATACCTATTAATCTGCTTGCATTTGCATGCTTTTGAACTACTAGGTGGGCAGGAGCTGAGGCAAGTAATGGGAACTCACCCGGGCATGCTGCACTTGGGTCTTAAACCCAGACTGACCCAGACTTTCCAGCTGAGAACCTCAATGTCTTTAACTAACTGAGCCATCGCGTCCTCTGGAAGAATACATATCACCCACTAAACCAAACCCAAGCATTCTACATCCTTGCACTATGTGATGTATGAATCCCACTACTATGAAGCCTCTTCAGAACCCATGGCAATATCTGGAATAGACTTGCAAGAGTTATTTCTCTTGAGATCCACGGTATTTCAGATCTCAGTTTAAATGAAGGAATGCTAGAAAAGGATTCTGCCAAACATCATGCTGGCGTAACTATTTCTTTAACCAGTTGAAAAAACATGTGTTTGTAGCCTGCAGACAGCAATAAAAACTGCTTTCAACAAAGGGCCATTTCAACAAAAAACAAATTTCAGGGAAGGGATTAAATGTCCTTCATAGGCTCTGCTGTTTGGGAAAAAAAAAAGCCGGTCAGCCTCACTAGAGGGTAAGCCAAGTGTGCAAGTCAAATTCCAACTTTCTTTTTTTAAAAATGACAATTGCATATGTAGACACAGAAAAATGAGAATTCAAACCAACAACAGCCCCCGCCCCCACCCCAACTTTTCTTCCTTTCCCCAATCCTTTGGGGAAAGTCCACAAACCAAACCGGACAGGTGTTGTGTAAGAAAACTGGCTTGCTTTGCTTCCCATCAAAACTATCCATCATCTTTGCATTTTGTACCGCTGACTTTCCCAAACAAACCCCTCTTCCCTACAAGCGTTACAGCACAGAGAGAGGGACGGGCTTATACTTGGCAGGGTAATGAGTAACATCTGTAACCACAGCTGCCCTGTGGGGCATTCCTTCCTTTGATGCTCCTTGAAGACTGCAGCCAGCCAGAGGAGGGAGCCAAGGAAAGTTTAATATACAGATTCTCTTTCCTCTCTACACAGCCTTTCCTCTCCCCACACACCCCCCAACCTCCAAACCCTCCACTTTCAGGAAAGGCGGCCTCCCCGAAGCGATTAAAAGATGCGCCGCTTCCATCTGCTAAGTTTTCCAAAGCCACGGCTGGAAGCAGGACATACAGATGCAGCATTAGCTTACGAGCTTTTTTTTTTTTGGGGGGGGGGGGGGGGGGGTGGGAGAACTGTAAAGGCACGTCCGAAACGCCCATGTCTGAGAGCTGGTTTTGAGGGGGGGGAGGAAGCAACCCACACGGATTCCCTTTCCAGTCGCTGTGTGCATTTTTTAAAAAAAAAAGATTTTTAAAAAGATTCTCCATCCAGAAAAGAAAAGTGGGCGGAGAGGAGACGAATGTAAGAGCAAGGTTAAACCACAGAAAAAAATCGCGACCGACCGGCCTCCCCCGTTTGGAAAGGCAGGTTCGTGTCCCGAAGAGGAAGGAACGGGGGGAGATGGAAGCCCCTCGTTTAAAAACACGGAGGAGAGAGAGAGAAAGCTGCCCAACGTTTGGGGGGCGGGAGGAGGGAGGGGGGGGGGAGATGGCGGCCAAGTGGGCGATTTCTCTCCCAGACAGAGATCCACTCACCTCTCTCGCACGGTTAACAGACAAAGGCAAAAAAAAAGCAGCCGAGCGGGCGGCGCGGGAGCTTCAGGCGCAGTTTAAAGGAGGAGCAGACACAGCAGCAACAATTTCTCTCCTCCGCCGATCTGCCGCAGCGGCAGCCGACCACCGCTCCGCTTGCAAGTTGCTGCAGCGCTGGCGGCGGCCAAAACCCGGAGTCCCGCGCTCTAATCACTCCGCGACCGCATCTCCCCAGCGGGCCGCCTCCCACCTCCGGCGGGATCCGCGCTCTCCCGCAGCGGCGGCGGCGGCGGCACCCTTCGCCAAGGCGGGAGAAGAACTTGCCGTCGAGCGGCGACGGGGGGAAAAGTTGGCAAAAGGGAAGGCGAGCCGAGCGCAAAGTTCCCGAGAGCAGCCGGGCGAGCCGAGACAAGGCAGACTCCGGGCGAGGGGAGGGGAGGAGGAGGAGGAGGAGGTGGGGCTACTCAGCCGGGAATCCAGCTGCAGTGTGTGTAAGAGAGAGAGAGAGAGAGAGAGTGGAGAGGAGGAGGAGGAAGTGGCTGCTCCCTCTTCTGCCAATGGGCTTCAGGAGCTGGAATGAGCCAGGCGGCAGGCACATCATTTCCTCCCGGCGCAAATCCAGGCGCCGCCAAAGTTGCCCCGCCTCGCCCCCTGCAGGGACGAAGGGGCACCGCACCTTCCCTCCCCCGTGCGACGTGACCCGCCCACACGCGTGGGCTCGCGGGCTGGGATCGTGGCGGTGGGGGGGGGGCGTTCTGTTTGCGGCAGCGCCTCTGGTGCTTTTGAGGAGGGGTGTGTGTGTGTGTGTGTGTCTCGCGGTCTGGTCTTTTCCACGAAGCCCCTTGTGACTGCCTCGCGCGCCCTTTACGTTAGAGAGATCTGGAATATATATGTATATATTTATATATATATATAAAATCTACCCACGCTTTCTCTTCTCTTTCCAGTCACGACCTGCTCCTATTCGGGAGCGACAGACTATCTCACTCCAAGAAAGCATCTCCTAGGACTCGGGCTTTGCCTGCCAAAGTGTGAACATGCAACCTACTAATTCACGTGTGTGGAACAGAAGGGGGAAAAAAAACAGTACAAGCACTCAAACTCAAAACAGAAAATGGCGGGAGGTGAGGAAAGGGAGAAAGACTCACTCAAATGCTAGTAGGAAATAATCTTGTGTTAGAACTCCAAACAGGTTTTTGGAAAAGCAAGCAATACTAATAACGATTGATGCAATTTCATCCCTGGAAAACCATAATACATTGTGAGAAAATATAAAAGAGACCCATTTTAGAATGATTATTTTATTCTACTTGTAGAAAAACCTAAAACTGAGTCACACCAGTAGTTCTACAAAGAAAGAAAAAATCCACCTTTAAGGATGAAAAAGCCAAGGTGATTACACTGACATTTCAAAAACATTCTTTGCTTCATTTTTTGTTATTATATTTTTATTATCCAAACCCACAATTTCTACAACAGTTCTATAGTTTTGCTTTTTTTCTAATTAAGAATTAAAGCAAGAGATAAAAGGTTTATTTTAGGCAATACTTTATCTTACTTAGCAAACTTGCCTTGAAAAGGAACAGCTGTTTTAATGTTAATGATTTTTTTAAGTCGATGAAAAAATGTTCTATTTTGCAAGGGGAAATGAATTTAATATATCTGGCTGCTGAACAAAGTAATAAGCCTGGGGAAAGATACAGATAACCATTTTCTTGTGGTAAATACTTAGGAGAAGTTGGGGGGATTAGGTGGAGGAAAAACATCCAGGAATCAAATTGGCATATTAAATGTCTTCATTTAGTCCTCAGGGGATTAAGCTATTTTAGTGGCTGTCAATTTTCTTCCCTTAATACGCTAAATATCTTTTATTAAAGCACTTTATTTATTGTAAGTCTGAAGTTGGGTGTCTTTTTTCTCCCATGAAATACTTCAAAATTTCCTCTGACTTTCTTATATGTCCTGATTTATAGTGCTATCCTAGTCTCACCCATAAAAATTCCTGAGATATTATCATTGGTTCAGCTATGGTATAAAGCAGGGGTGTCAAACTCACGGTGTCATATTGTCACGTGACGTATCGTGACTTTCCCCCCACTTTGCTAAACTGGGGGTGGACGTGGCCAGCGCATGATGCATCCAGCCTATGGGCCGCAAGTTTGACACCCCTGCTGTGAAGACAGACAGGCTGTACACATTCAACATATAAGAATATAAGAAAATAAAAGTGAAAACACAAAATTAATGTTCTCCTGTTATATCATGGTCTACTCTCTTACCTCTCCTATATACAGTATTATTCCCATCAATTATTGTGCATTACTCTGCCTATCAATTCCGTTTATTTACTCTGCCTATAATCCTACAAAGTAGTTTTACTGTTTTTCTGTTTATTTAAAGGTGGACGAAGCCCTTATAAACAGAAGAACACTGACATCCCCTAAACTCAATTGAAGATGTTACCTAGCCTGGTAACGAAACATTTGGAAACCAATCCAAAAGCTTGGAGAACGAACTTTCACCTTCATTTTTTTTTTCTTTTGATATCTCTATTTTATAAGGAGTTCTCAACCTATGACCACAATTGGGACCAGAATTTCTGTTGCTAAGCAAGGTTGTTAGTTAAGTGAGTCTTGCTCAATTTTATAACCTTTTTTGTCACATTTGTTAAGTGGATCATGTGGTCATTTAGCAAATCCAGCTTCCCCCCATTAACTTTACTTATTGGATACTGTCTGAGAAGGTCATAAAGAACAACCATGTCACCTCAGGGTGCTGCAATCATCAAAAATACATGTTGCTTGTTCTAATGCCTGTATTTTGATCATGTGACCATGGAGATGTTGCAAAAGTCGTAAATGCGAGGACCAGTTGTAGCTCCCTTTTTAGAGCTGTGGTCACTTCAAATGGTTGCTAAAGAAATGGTTATAAATTGAGGATTACCTGTATTTTTCTTGCTGAATGCTTTATTTTACAGAGTATTCTTGGTTAATCTAAGATTTCTGATTGCCTACTCTAAAATTTATACAGGCTTTCCCCCCTCCTTTCTAGATTCTCTATAGTTCCTGTCATTCTTACACATCAATTCCATCTTAGAACTTTGATGTCTATTATTTCCAATTTTTGTCCTATCCTATGTTCTTTTCTCTTGGCCTCTGGCCTCACACCTCCAACTAACTATATATCAACTATCTATATATCAATATATATCAACTATCTATATATCAATATATATCAACTATATATTAGGGGGCATGCAAGCACACCAAAGTGCCTACCGTCCCTGTCCTTTCTTTTATTTTTCTTATATGTACTCATTTCTTGTATTCATAACTATGTTTATCCTTATACCTATTATCTTGTAAGCGATTGACAAATCAAATAAATAAATATCTTCCCCACCAGCAGTCACTGCTGTTGGAATTGAAGCTACTCTCTGCTGCCAGCTGGCTCTTTGCAACTGCCCAGTTTGTGCCAGAACTGCTCTGGTGTTGGTGGACACATTTCCTGTACCCAGAACCTTGAGTCCTTTCAAAGTTTCTCTCACTTCACACTACTTGAAAGCATTTGGCTGTGAGGATTGGGATTTTGGGTAATCTGCCCAGGCTACTGAAACTTGCCTGGTGCTCTACTTAGCCAGGTTGCCCTTCATGGGCTTTCAATCATGCCAACTCCTCTAGAACAGGGGTGTCAAACTCACATCATCACGGCAGCGTCATGTGATTTATCGGGATTTTTTCCCCTTTCACTAAACTGGGCATGGGTATGGCCAGCATGTGATGCATCCAGCCCACAGGCCAGAAGTTTGACAGCCCTGGTCTATAAGTTCTTTTTCATAGGTTGCCTTTTCTTGATATAATTCTCAAGGTCACCTGGTCTTCCTTCCTTCTGCCTCCATTGCTATGGCTCTTAGTAGTCTCTGTAGCAGACTGCTCTAGCAGTCTCTCAGAGTCTACTGGCTTCTGCTGGTCAGGTCTAGTGACCTGTTTTTTTGGGTATCTATGGGCAGCTCCCACTACTGAACCTTAACTTTCTCTCCTGGTCCCAATTTCCAGGCCATCCTTGGCCTGCTCACACTCTGCATCTAGACACCTGGGGTACTCTAACTCACTAGCGTTTTGTACTCCTGAAGAACTGACTGACTGCCAAACTGGACTGCTGCTAAATGACATCAACATAGTTGATGTCTGCAACGCATATCTCCTATTCTAAATGTAGGACCAATTTCCCCAGAAAGTTAAGTTTGAGTCTCTAAGGTGGGGAAAGATGGTTCCAGTGCAATCATTTTGTCCATTTATCCTCTTACAAACCATCACTTCCACTTAAATGATACATAAAACATTCACACTCTTGCATATAATGAACTCTTCCAGACAATGTTTCCCAATCATTGCAACTTTAAGATGTGCTTGCTCCAATTCCTAAAATTCTTAGCAATGCCCATGTGCATTAGGGAATTCTGGGAGTTGAAGTCCACGCAACATAAAGTTGCCAAGGCTGGAATATACTATTTTAAATAATACCTTTGTCCATTCTCTAGATGGGAAGGGGGAGCAATGGAAGCTTGTTGTATACTTAACAAGCTCTTTCACTTAAAATAAGTACAATGACCACATGGGTGGAAAGATCCTATGATAATGCAGTTTATTACGCAACATTACATGCTGCAACTAAATCACTTCTGACAAGTACTCCTTCATGATTCTTGGTTCTTCTGTGTGCAAAACAGAAGACTTTTACCACTTTGAGGTATATTTTTGAACAGTTTCAAAACCACAAACCAATGCACTCATTGTACAATTGTGTTATACCCAAGTCTCCCCCCCCCACCTTTTTTTTAAACCAAATATCATTTTGCTTTTTCTAAATTGGTTCCCCCAATGAGATTGGATAGCCTCCACTTAATAATTCTTGCTTTAGCACTCCTGAACTCAATAAGAATTCTGCCTCTTAAGAGCACTTGGATTGGTCTCTTAGAAACTGTCCTAATAGTAAATTATTCCTGAGCCACTTCATGGGCCATGGTGCAAGTTGATTTGCCAATATAATAGTTCTTTTCAAATAATAATTCCCGAAGAGTACTATTTCTGCTAAAGGTGGCAAAATATGACTCATTCTCCTCTCAGTAATTCATGGTATGAAGCATCACTTCCTTAGACTAGGATATAAGGAACATATATGATTAGAATGAAAGATTGGATTTCAAGAATGAAATGCATAGAGTTCTATAAAAGAAGGGAACCGCGGAAAACCGTAGAGGTAAAATAGAGTCCTGAAGAGAGTTGTTTCCTGAGATAATAGGATACAAAACTGGGGGAGGGGAGGGGGGGCTAAACATTTTAATGATTCCTTGATAAAAGCAAACAATGAATGGTACAAGCAAAATCTCACACTGGATTTTGAAAGGCAACTATTCTGCTAATGCAGTGTCTTGTAAAGTATTCTCCAAAAGCTCTGTTTTGATTTT